TATTGTTTTTTGACTTTTGTTCTTGCTTTCTTAAGACACACTGTTCTCTCATTGTAAAAGCATAAAAGCCTGTGTGAGTCATTAAGTTTAGCAATTTGCCTGATTCTAAATAAATAAATCTGGCACCAGCCTCAAGGATTTCAGAATCTAGGGGAAAAAACAAAAATGGAGATAAAATATGGCAGCACAATGTAAAAAGTGTATATAAAATCATGGTTGAATTGGATTACTTTCCATTTTAAAAAAGCTTTTTTGAGGTATAGTCTACTTAGAATAAAATTGCTGTTGAGTTGATATAGCTTGTTAGGTTTGGTAAGTGTATAGTCTTACAGTGACCACCACAATCAAGGGTCAGCACCCTCAAAGTTTTCTCTTTGCAATCAATCCCTTGCTCCTACCCACCTCTTGATGTGCATACTGAAGTATATTTTTGTCTTTTTTAGGGTTTTCAATGAATGGAATCAGTCATCTTTTATATAAAGGCTTAGCATGATGTTTGAGTTTTATTCATGTTTTTGCATGTATCAGTTCTTTCCTCTTTATTGCTAAATAGCATTTCATAGTGTATATGTGTTCACATTTCAATTGAACATATGGCTTATTTATATTGTGTTGGTCACAATGAACAATATTGGTTTTTTTTGAATTTTAACTGAAAATGAAATCATTTTATTTTTTTGAACATAATCCATTAACATTCATGGTTCTTTTAAATTTTATTTTTATATTCCCCATACAATTGCAACCCCCTTATTTTAACTCCAATCTCTCCTTTCCCTGCCCTCCCTCCCCCCATAGTGTGTCTCTGGTTCATAGTTGTTTGTTGATTTTGATTTTTTTCTTTCTTATAGCTATTCTTTTTCCTGGTTCCTTATTTAGGTTTTCTAAATTCCTGCTATGAGTGAGACCATCTGGTATTTTTCTTTTTCTTTCTGGCTTATTTCGCTGAGCATGGTTCCTTCCATCTCCATCCATGTTGCTGCAAACTGCATGTTTATCTTTTTTGATTGCTGAGTAATATTCCATGGTATATATGTACCACATCTTCTTGATCCAGTCATCTATTTTTGGGCATTTGGGTTGTCTCCATAGCTTAGCTATTGTCAATAGTGCTGCTGTAAGCACAGGGGTGCAGGTGCTCTTTGGAATTAATGTTTCTGTGTCCTTTGGGTAAATACCTAGGAGAGGAATTGCTGGATCATATGGAAGCTCTATTTTCAGTAGGTTGAGGAATCTCCATACAGCTTTCCATAGTGGTTGGACCAGTTTGCACTCCCACCAAGAGTGCAGGAGAGTTCCTTTTTCTCCACACCCTCGCCAACATTTGTTGTTGCTAGTTTTTTTAATATGTGCCATTCTCACTGGTGTGAGATGGTATCTCATTGTAGTTTTGATTTGCATTTCCCTGATTGCAAGTGATGTTGAACATTTTTTCATATGCTGCTGGCCATTTGTATTTCCTCTTTGGAGAAGTTTCTTTTTAGCTCTTCTGCCCATTTTTTGTCTGGATTATTTTCTTTGTTTTTGTTGAGTCTCGTCAGCTTTTTGTAGATTTTTGTGATCAGTCCTTTATCATTAGTGTTGTGTGCAAAAATTTTCTCCCAGTCGGTGGTTCATGAACAAATTTAGGAGGGGCATGTTTTCATTTCCCTTGGGTAGATAACCTGAAGTAGAGTTGTTAAGTGTATATTTAACTTTTTAAAAAACCTGCAATGATTCCCCAAAGTAGCTATCTGTTATCATTTTGCACTGTATGAAGAGTTCCAGATGCTATAAATCCTTGTCTATACTTGCTATTATCAGGCTCTTAAATTTCAGTGTTCTAGCAGGTGTGCTTTAATTTATTGGGGTTTTAATTTCTATTTCCCTAGTGAGTAAAGCTACTGAGTTGTTTCCTATTTGTTGGCTATGAATTCACTGTTCTCACCCAGTACATTAGCAGGTTTTCATAAGTAAACATTTCTCAAGCTATTGTTTACCTTTAAAGTGACTGTTGTTTATCATGAAATAGTCTTCAAAACTTGTACAGTCCTAAATTTTTATGTGGAGGCAGAATACCCAAGCCTTCTCACACCACCATTATAAAGGGAAGGCCTTGAATTGTATTTTAAAAAGTGAATAGCAGTTACCATACTGAGTCATTGGGTCACTGCGGATGTCGCTTAAATACTAGGTACTAAACACAGTGAGTCTTGTCTCTTAAAAAGTCCTCAGTCTTTTGTAAAGGAGATAGACTGGTAAATAGATACTGTACACTGTGATAAATGCTATAATAGGGGTAAGCCAAAAAGGTTATAAAGATGAAGTCAGTCAGGGAAGTCTCTGAGTTGAGCAGGTTTGGCAAGTAAAGAAGGTGCAGTGAGTGTTATAAGCACATGAGAAAGAAGGCACTGCATCTAATCACTGGAAAATATACACATATACTAGGTTATAAAGCAAGTTGCTAGAAAATTTCCAACCACAACGTAAGTTAGCAATAATTAAGATAATTTAAAAAGTCCTTTACATTTGGGGATGTCTGCATGCATGCATATGCGTGCGCGTGCACGCACATGCACACACACACACACACACACATACATACATACACACTTCTAAATAGCCCATGGCCAAAGAAAAAATCTTATTCAAGAAACAGAAAAAAGGAAACACATCAACTATTTTCAAGGGCATAGATCTTAGAATAATCTTGATGCCAAAATTAGACAAAGTAAATATACAAGGGAAAATTATAAGCCCATCTCATTCATAGCAAGAGATGAAAAATTTGAAGTATTCACAAACTGAATCTAACACTATTTGAAAGGAAAAAAAATCAGAAAAGATTGCACACCGGACTTCTCAGATTTATTATTCCTGGAAGGCAAGCTTGATCAACATTTAAAAGTTTTTTAAAAGTCTATTAATATAAATCACCACATTAACAGATTATACATGAAAATCTATATAGATACAGGAGCACATAAGTCAATAAGCATGCAAAAGTACTTCTATTAACTGAGAATAGAAAAAAACCTTCTAGGCTTGATTAGCAAAAAAGAAAACAGCAAGTTTAGGAAACTACACATGGTATAGTATGGCCAGATGAGAAAAAATTAAATTCAAAAAAGTAAATGATTTGCTCAAAGTCACGTAGCAATTTTTTTTTAATAGTTTTGATTTTTCTTAAAGATTTTTTTATTTATTTATACAAGAACCGAGGTATAGGCCAGATGTGCGGGAGGGTGAGAGGATTCACTGGAGACAGAGTGGGGAACTGAACAGGCAGACTGATGAAATACATTGCTGAGGGGAGCAGTGGGCAAGACAGGAGAGGTCTGCCGTGCCATGTGGGACCCTCGCTGGCTGGCCGGGATCGAGACAGCGCTGCAGAGGCTGTGGACAGTTTCACAGCACTGTGCTCAACTGCCTGCGTCACCAAGGGAGGCCCCACATAGCAATTTTAATGGAACAAAAACTGGACTACATGTTAATTCTCAAAACTTTCCACAATACAATGATGCTGGGGGGAAAATTTTTCACCCCCAAATTTGAAAGAATACAAGATTTACCATTCATAGATTACATTTATTTGAATCTCACATACTCTTTCCAAATTCTTGTAAAAATCTATTAAACAGTGTTAAATAATTTTTTCCCCATTTTTTAAGAACTTATCCTCATTTGCTACTTCCAGTGTGCCTAGTTACTAAGGGGAGGGGATACTATGTGCTTAAACTTGAAACTTCAGATCATATCAAAAATATGCATTGCTTATACTTTGTAATACAATATATTTGGCAATACTAAGAAAGGAGATTTTAAATAAAATCATATATCCTCCAGTCTATTTAACTGATGGAATCTTTCCCTACCTAGATGAAACCTTGTCTTTATGCAGAAAGAACCTTGTTCTCTATTACCTTGTCACAAAGTCGAGAGTTACCTGTAGCCATCTTTATATTCTAAAAATGACCAAACATCTCAGATACATAACTGCAGGTATTATTGAACAAGCCAGCTCCTTTTCATTAAATATTAAAATAATAATTTTGATTTCCCATTAAATAACTTTATTGAGTTTGACTAATGTATTCAGCATTAACAAATATTTATAAAAGTTTCTATTTTGTGCTAGATACTATGCTAAGTAACAGATAGCCAAATAGGCAATATGTTATCATGGTACACGAATTAAAACATAATTGTCTGAATTATTATAGTTATCCTCCAAATTGGAAGTGACACTTTCTAATCCTTATTAGCATGAAAATTGAAACTTTAAATCCATTTATAGTAGATTTTAGCAAATTTTTTGCTGATTCCTTTTTCATTCTTTTTTTTTTTTTTAAAGGATTTATTTATTTATGCATACAAGAACTGGGGCACAGGCCAGAGGTGTGGGAGATGAGAGGATTCACCAGAGACAGAGTAGAGAACAGAACAGGGAGACTGACTGAAATACACTGCTGAGGGGAGCAATAGGCAAGTCAGGAGAAGTCTGCTGTGCCATATGGGTATCTCCCTGGCTGGGGATCGAACCCACGCTGCAGTGACTGCAAACATCCCCATAGATTGCCTCTTAATCACTTGTGCCACCAAGGAGGCCCCCTTTTTTATTCTTATACAATTGTTCTGTTACAAAATGTGGAATAGTTTAGTCAACCCCATTTGCATTCTATTTCAATTGGTTTTAGTACATGTATATATTTCTTTCCCATTAACAAAACCTATCTTTGTATCTTATGTTTTATTTTCATATTAGGAATGCTTTAAATGCTTAAAATTATCTTAATTCTTACAATATACCATCCAATGTATAGTGTATAAAAGGGCAAGTAAGTAGGATAGTTTATTATTTTTTTAATATTTTATATAATTCTTACATCATTTTTCATCTTTGCATAATGTATGCATTTTCATTATGGTTATATTCCACATACAACTGCACTCCCCCTTATTTTGACTCTAGTCTTTCCTTTCCCCGCCCCTCCCTCCCCCACACCATAGTGTGTCTGTGGTTTATAGTTGCTTGTTGATTTTGATTTTATATTGATTAGTCTTTTTCCTGGTCTCTTATTTAAGTTTTCTAAATTTGTGCTATGAGTGAGACCATCCGGTATTTTTCTTTTTCTTTTTGGCTTATTTCGCTGAGCATGATCCCTTCCAGCTCCATCCATGTTGCTGCAAACTGCATGTGTTTATCTTTTTTGAATGCTGAGTAATATTCCATGGTGTATATGTACCACATCTTCTTGATCCAGTCATCTATTTTTGGGCATTTGGGCTGTTTCCAAAGCTTAGCTATTGTAAATAGTGCTGCTATGAACATAGGCGTGCAGGTGCCCTTTGGAATTAATGTTTCTGTGTCCTTTGGGTAAATACCTAGGAGTGGAATTGCTGGATCATATGGAAGCTCTGTGTTTGGTAGGTCAAGAAATCTCCACACAAAATAGGATAGTTTAATTTGCTTTTCATGTGTACTATTAATCATTCAAAGTGCAATTTTCTACTGTAAGTGTTGTGATTCTATAGAAACATGAAAGGCTAAATTTTAGAAATACATTTGGTTAGAATCTTCATTAACAACTCCTTTACTTACTTTTTACTTACCTTGCAATATGAAATAGAAAGTGAAGGTCAGAGACTCAGTGCCAGGCAGTCACCTACACTTGAACCTCCACTCTCAAATTACCAGCTATATGACCTGGAAGTTACTAAACTCTCTGTATGTTGGATTATCTGTAGAACAAGGTTATGGATCGTATCTACCTCACACCTTGTTGTGGTATCATACATTAGCAGACACATGTAAAGAGCTTAGAATAGTTGAGTGCTAAACCCCTAAAAAAGCATTAACTGTTATTTCAAGGTGGTCACGCCTCATTCCAATTTTGGAAGGAATCAACATCCCAGCTGAGAAAACAAATCAAGTCCTATGACTTAAGTTCCTCTGTTTATTATGAAAGTATGCTTTTCTTTGTACATTTGACTTTGTACAAATCTGGTTCCTGAGCTAACCTTGTGTGACTTTCCTGCTATATAATTTTCCTGCAATCTCTCCATGCCCCAGTCAGAAGTAAAAAATGATTGTGCTTGAGGAAAAACAGACCTTTGGATGGGAGCTACCCATTTCTTCTCTCAGACCCAGTCTTCATTTCTCTAACTTATAAATGAATCCTTCAGTATTCCTTACTGCAGTAAGCCACGTCAATGCCTAGGGTCTTCTCACTCTGTAGTTCAAATGAAGAGCTTTCCTTAAGTTTTATGTTTGTTCCCTATGGATATATCTTAAGCAAGGGAATTCAGCGTAGTAGTCATCTGATACTTTTTGATGTCAAATATTTAGTCTTGTTCCTTTTGGAGAACAATTAACACCCCCACTCTTAGTTCAGTAATGAGGTTTAACCTCCAAGTCTGGGTTTCAGGGGGCCTCTATGTAATCCAGTGCATGTACCAAGGACTAAGCTGAGCTTGAAATTGCTGGGGTCCATCCCATGGAGCCTCAACCTAGACCAGCTAAGAAATGGATCCAACTTGAGGTCCAAATCAAGTGAGGTCCACAAAAAACAAAGCTGTTCTGCTAAGAAAACTCTAAATTTGCTCACTGTACTTCCTTTGTTAAAAAAGTACCTTTAACCAAGTCCATGCTGAAGTAAGATTAGTAGTGCCACACACACCAATCTCCAGCATAGGCCTACTAGCCTTTCATCTCTCAGAATACGAATCAGCGGTTCCTAAAAGTTGATCAGCACATAGGAATGGGTGAGTGATAACATTACCACCAATCTATAACATTCTTCTCAGATAAACGCCACTGCTATATGATGTGAACAGAGCTCTGAGCCTCCTAGCAAGAATGCTGAGAAAGAGTATTTTGAAATTTCTATTGTACTTCCATTAACTAGACCACTGGCCTGAAAGTTTCCCTTAAGCTTCAGGAAGAAGCAGAAGGAAGTTGAGGCACGGAGGCCATGGTTTTCAGGTGTGTACACAATAACCTGAAACAGTATTATATGGCTTCCACAATAGCCAGCATATCTAAATACAACCAAACATACCAGGATAGGTGTGTGACAAAAACAAAATTTTAGACTAAGCACTGACATTTGAATTCTAGATGGCAAACTTATATCCAGACCATGACTAAAAATATATGAATTATAAAATGGAAACTGGTAATAATTTTTTTACCTTTGGATTTTCAAAAATATGTCCTTTCTGGACATCTTAGAATACCACCAACATTCTTCTGATGTGAAGGTTTATCCTTTATTTTAACTGCAGATCCATTTTGGTGTGAGAGAAAAAGATTCTTTCATGATATTAGGATGATAGCAAATAATAGTATTTATTTTGCCAAGTACATTTAAAAATTTGCCAGTTCTACAGCTACCCTCCTAAGTTCTCCCCCCACCCGCCCCCAGCAAATACCAATGTAATAATTTTCAGGCAAATATCACAAGTAGATGGCAGTTAGGGTGAAAAGTTGTTCGGGGGCCTCCCTAGTGGCACAAAGGGTTAAGTCTCAGCACTACGAAGCTATCCACATCCCCAGCCAGGGAGTTAACCCACATGGCACAGCAGACCTCTCCTGGCTCGCCCACTGTTCTTCCCCTAGGCAGTGTTTTTCAGTAGATCTGCCTGTTCTGTTCCTCACTCTGTCTCTGATGAATCCTTTCACAATAACGCTAAATTAATATATAAGTGTCAGTTGTACATCACTAAAGTCAACATGTGTAAATACTATTAAGTTCATCAGAAAGAGTCTTTTTAAAATATTACTAGTCACTGACCTTCAAAAACCTTCAAAAACCACTGAGTCACAGTACTGACTATATAAATTCCCATTCCCAGGTTAGCCATAAACCCATATTTGCTATTAAAATTTATACATATTTATATACACCATGCATAGAAAAGTTTTCATTTTAAAAAGAACAGATTTGACTATAAATTTTCTTTCCTAAGGTTTTAATTAAAATAATTTAGAGAAATACAGCACACAGAAATGTTACAAAAATACAAAAGGATTATAGGCAAACAATGAATAATGAGAATTCTTTTTAAGAGATACGTGATAGGGAAGAAAATGAAAGTTTTTATACACTATTTATACGTTGATTCTAAACCATAGCAGTAAAAGCTTTCCGAACATTGGCAAGAAAAGCTGAAAAATTGTTGGTCTTTCTTACATTCTCTTGAAATTCTGCTAAGCATTCAAGATGAGGAGAACAATCTGACACTAAAAGGGAAAAAAAAAGAATTTGAATGAAAATGTTTTATGGATGAGAAGTATTTCTAATTTAGATACTCTCATTTGATTCAAATCATTTCACTTCAATTCCACTTTACTGAAATGCTTTGAGCACTGAATGATAAATATACTTGATTTTCATATCTTAACTATCTTTGGGACCTTTCCTTTGTTTAATCTTTAAATATTCATATCTTAAGTACTATAATCTTGCTTTAAATTTAAACAGATGATAGTCAAGGGATTGAAGAGCTCAGTGACACAGAACAGCCCACCATCTTGGACCCGTACACTTTCTTTTAACACTAACTATTTAAACTATTTTAAAGGTTTTTTTCAACTGTTAAGTCAGTTTTCTCTGCAAAACTTTGACTTAATTTCTGATTACAGATTAACCCTAAATAACTTAAAATTATGGAAAGTGGTAATTAAAGTTTTATAAGTGAAAGGTAACTAGAAAATGTGGTTGTTTCTCAAAACTATAGGACCCACCTATCAAATAAGACTCAAGGTCACAAACAACAACGAAGCATATATTGCTGTGCTAGCTGATAGTTGTTCTCATTTCATACATTCTGTAGCAAGTCTCCAGGGAGGACAGGTCAAAGCAAATGGATCATATTCTATCAGCATTTCTATTCTTTGTCCAAGAGGAAAAAATATGACTATATCAGATTTCCTGCTCTTTAGTAGAGAGTGCTTAGAAAATAAGGCCCATTACAAAAACAGAGAAAAAACAGCAAAGAGCATTTGGTTCAAAATTTATACTGTGGATTCTATTTTAATACACTATCAAATACTATGAGACTGTGGTGCAAAAAAGAACATCCAATTTGGAGAAAATTGAAAAGTTAGGTAAAAGGTTTTGGGCAGTTTGCTGCTTAAAAAACTTAGCACTCAATAGGTAAGAAGATATTTACCCAGAAAGAAAAAGATTCCTAAAGTAAAAATCCCATTTGAATAGGAGTTGCGTCACCAGGGTACATTAAGGAGCTAACTCAGCAGTTCATCTGAGTGTCTGACTGCTATTAAAGCTTTAGATGAAAACATAGGCACAAAGAGCTGAGAACCATTTTCTGAGCTCCGATAAATTAAGGATTATTTTAACAGGGACATTAGATGAATAAAAGAAGAGCTGTATTTCCATTCTTTTCCTGTTCACAGTATTAGTAATCATATATAACTCCCCAGAAATCAAAGGCCTCTGATCTGCTACAGAATCACCAACTAAGCTAAATTATCAATTACCAATGTGTGAGATTTTTCAGAATAGTGTAATTTTCAAAGATATTTTATTTTGGGGAAAATAAACGATGACATTCTGATGATTTTACATTTGACTTTAAAATCAAATACTTGGATAAATTATAATAGTCACATTTAGGTAGATATATCCTTTATAGCTTTAGCTTTATTTTAAGTTCTCTTAAAGGATAATTCACACTTGCTTAGGAAATGCAGTGGTCATTGGTCTTTTAGACTTTTCAGCTACTGTAGCCCTGTGCCATCTGGAGAAGAAGTTACTGAGCTTCTCAGGTAATAATATCTATAAATGAAAACTATACACACTATTGTCTGTAGTAGACAAGAAGACAGGAAAAGAAAGTAATAGCTGGTGGAAATATTACTTTCCTTCATATTTACATTGTGATTCAAATAACATTGTGGGATGCTACTTCAAATACCAGTTAAGAGATAAGAGTAGATACCTTCATAGTCTCTTGCTTCATTTAGGTGCAAAGAAAACATAAATGGGCTCTCAGGATGCTTTGGATCAATATTAGTGAAAATAAACTGTAATTTATCACCTGAAAAAAAGATTAAGTTATTTATAAAAGAACATTTTGTTGTGCCAAAGCTTTCAATGGAGATGGGTTTTCTCATCTCAAATCAATATCTAACATGCCAAGTATATATAGTCACTAAACCAACATCTCCAAGTGTACAAGCTACAAAGATTTTTAAAATGTATTGTAGTTTAAGTGACACCAAAAGTATAAGCAATAAAAGAAAAACAGATAAATTGGACATCATAAAAATTAAAAACTTTTGTCCTTCAAAGGATACTATCAGGAGTGAAAATTCAACCCATAAAGTAGGTGAAAATATTTGCAAATCATATATCTGAAATTACCTTAAAATGTAAGAAACTCCTACAACTGAACAACAACCCAATTCAAAAACAAAGAACTTGTGAATGACATTTCTACAAAAAATATATAAAAATGGCCATAAACACATGAACAAATGCTCAACATCACTAGTCATAGGAAAAATGCACACCAAAACTACAATGACGTAACATTTCACACCCACTAGGATCGTTTTAGGAAAAAAAAAGAAAATAATAGTGCTGGAAAAATGGGGAGAAATTGGAACCCTATAAAGTGGTCCAGACACCATAGAAAATAGAATGGCAGTGCCTCAAAAATTACAATAGGACAGGGCATTTCCATTTCTAGGTATAGATTCAAAAGAACTAAGAACAAAGACTCAAACAGATAACAGTATGCCCATGTTCACAGCAGCAGCATTTTACAGCAGCCAAAAGTGCTAATTGTGTAGTGTCCACCAATAGATGAATGGATAAACAACATTATGTAAATATGTGTGTGTGTAACATGGAATACTATTCAATCATAAAAAGGAAAGATCTGAAACATGCTACAATATGGATGAACCTTGAAAACAGTGTGCTAAGTGGGATAAGGCAGACATAATTGAACCAATATCGTGTGATTCTATTTAAATGAAATACCTAGCATAGACAAATTCATAGAGACATAAAGTAGGTTAGAAGTTTTCAGGGACTAGAAGGAAGAAGGAATGAGGAGTTATTATTTAGTGGGTAGAGTTTCTGCTTGTATTAGTGAAAAATTTTAGAAATAATGGCAGTGATAATTGTACATTATGATGTAATAAACGTCACTAATTTATATAATAAAAATTAGTTAAAATGGCAAATTCTATTATATATATTTTACAAAAAAAAAAAACCTGTAGTGTCTAACAAATTTAATTTGACTTTTTAAATATAGTTCTCTTAAAGCCTATTTTCCCAAAGACCCCTGAATGTTTCCAAAAGCGTAAATGCCTGGTAGAAATTCACATGCATTTTAGGTTTTTTCTACAAAATAAAAAATCAAAGAAATCTCATAAAAATCTGAATTATGAGACTTCAAAAACTTGAAAAATTGTGTCTCATATTTAAATCCAAATAAAATAAATTTCTTTTTTTAACTAGGTTTTTTTAAAAACAGTTAATAGTAATGGGAAGGATATTGGTCAAGGTAAAAAATATTTCCTAAGATATTCAGCTGGGTAAAATGAGGGTCTAATTTGGGTTGTGTCTTTTTACAAATTTATTCCCTGACCTTGAGGGCTAAGAGAATATTCTTTTTTAAATTCTAAAAATAATTTTAAGGCTTTAAAAATATTTTTGAAACAAAACTGAATAAAATTTAAAAATGTCTCATGATGACAGTGAATATATACTAAGAGTCCGGTAATAAAAAGTTCAGAACTGGACCTTACATTTCCCTAATCAAAAGGTTACTCCTCATTAAAAACTCATTCCAGTTGGTGGGAAAACACCAAGACTGACAAATGTGTGGATAAAGCACCCTAACAGACAGAAAAAAACTAGTAAACAAACAGAAAAAAGTGTCACCTTTTCATAATCAAAGAAATAAGTTTTTTTTTTATAAAAACTTGAGTTGTAATTGTATGGGGAATATAAAATAAAATTTAAATAAATTAAAAAAAAACTTGAATCATAGCTAGACAATTACCAAAAACCAACCTTAAAAAAATAATTCTGGCAAGAATACAATAAAATGGGTACTCTTGTACACTGTAGATAGGTGTAACTAAAACAGTTAACATAGTAGGCCTGAGACCACTAACCTAGGAACCTCAGAAAGGCCTGCTGGCAAGGCTGGTTCTTGGCTGGTATGATAAAGTTCCCCAAGATCAGTCCAGGTTTGGATTCATTAGGACTCAGAGGGCCCTGGATACAGTTGAACGTGGGACCATTATAGTGAAAGGACAGAGCAAAAATCAGCAAAGGGAAAAGGTACATGGGGGAAAAGTCCAAGGAAAACCAACAAAAGTTCCCAGAGTCTCCATCCCGCACAGACAACACTGCACAGGTATTATCACAATTTGAAGCCAAAGAAATTAAACACATCCTAACCAACTCCACAGCCCTAGAATTCCTGAAAACCTGAAAAGCTTGTTTACTCTAGACTCTAGACTTTGCCCCATTTGCCTTTTGTATCTGGGTTGATTTTATTTTGTATTCTTCCACTGCAATAAATCCTGAAATCTTGGACATGAATATAAGTGCATGCTGAACCTTCTAAGTCTTTCTAGCTAAACCGCAAACCTAATGGTGATCTTGGAGATTCCCAACACAATAGGTATCCTTGTAAATTGGCATACACAGAACAGCCATAAAAATGTCCCTATACTTTAATTCGTAATTCCTCTCTGGAATTTCCTGGAAATGGCACACAAGAAAATGGAGTAGTCTATGTTCATTACAGTATTTTCAAAACTGAAAAACTGTCAGAATTCAAACACTGAGTTAAAAGCAATACATTTATTTGTTAAACAATATAACTGGATAAATTATGCTACATTAATGAAATTACTATGCCACCATTTAAAATTTACCATTTGAAGATTTAAAAATTAAAAAAAAATTTGAAGATTTAGCAACTAGAGAAATGCTATTCATACAATGTCAGTTAAGAACAAGGCACAAAAATTATTTGCAGGCTGGTAGTCATGCAAAAAACATTTATTAAAATATTGGATGATAAATAACCAAGTATCAGTAAGTATATTAGAATAGGCATTTTATAAACTTCCTAAAAAGTTAATAAAATGGTCATTGTAGTTGAAAATGTTTTTTAAAATTCTCCTCTATTTAACAAAAATCGCATTTTTCTCATCTCCTTTACTTATTGTACATAAATGTACTTACCATAAACTTTTCGAATTTCTAGTCCAAGTCGATCTTTATACAGGTCTGCAGATTTCTGCAGCCTTTTCAACCTCTCTTCATTAGCTTTTTTAGCAGCAGAAATGGCTATGATTTAAAACACAGATACACATAATATGAAATATTTTAAGTAACACTCAACTGTTTGTTTAATTAAAAAAAAAAAACTTGAAGAAAACAACTATAAAAAATGATGCCAGGCATATGAATCTCCTCCCATTTATTCAATTCTATCTCTACCAATTAGCAAAGAGGACTTCTGTTCATTCAATTTGGAAGGAAACAATGCCTGAGAAAACAGGTAGTGAGAGGTAGTGAAAGGAGCAAGTAGGCCAACAATTAGCATGGTGACTCCACAGAAACAGAAAGACTTCCTTCACACTATTTTGCTCATTCTGGCTAGCCAAGAACATAATAATTGTTTCACTGGGAAAATATTCTACTCTTTTAAACATAATTATTTCTCTAAAGAATAGTCTTAATTCATGCTACTTTAGGATTCTTTTTAAAAGTCAGCACAGCATTCCCGAGTTATTACAAAGCTGATGAAAAAAAATCATATAGAATTGTATATAAACTCTAAGAGACAGCATTAGCAAAGCACACTTTGCAATTTCCGAAGATTTGAGAACTGAGTACTCGTTTTATGGCAAATAAGTCTGTTTCTAAAGGAAGCACTTATTTGAATATGAAAGTTTTTTCAGAACTTGCAGCAAAAATGAGTCTTTAATAAATCCTGGATGAGAATGTGATCAATAAACTTGTTGTATAAATTATACCTGGCTTCGCCCAAATTTTTACTGAAATTTTACTGACTCCTACTCTGCTTAATTAAACTGTCAAATGAATTTCATTATTATAATGGTGATATCAGAACTCTGGTTATATAGAACTCAAAATGCCTTTAAGTAAAACAAAAGAAAACCCACAGGGCTAACTTGATAAGATACCTTGCAGAGACAAGGAGCTTGCTACACCCCTAAGGATGGTTATCCATTTTTGACATTGAACTGGAGAGAAGGCAAGATGTACATAATAATTATGAGCCATCATCACCACTTTGAAATTTAGATTGTTTTTAATGTGTATACAACTGGCAACTCACTTTCTTTCTTCTTGGTATATCCTTCCTTAAGATCTTGGATATTTGCAGACAATGCTTCCAATTCTTGCTTTTTACCTTTTACTTCAGCAATCACCCTCATCAAGTTATCCTTTTTTTCTTGGATGAGCTTATTCTGCCTGCAGATTTCTGTAAGAAACACAAAGTATTAGCTACTATATGCTTTGTTCTCTGACATATATCTTAGCTAAAACCAAAATACTGATTTTCAAAAGATTAATAATATTTTAATTGATAAGTATTTCTTGATCCAAAAGTTGTGGAAGAAGGGAAAAAAATCCTAATCTAGTCTTTCCTTGTCTTTGAAAATAAAAATGAGGACAAAAAAAAAAAAAGCTTTTTAAAATGAATACCAAATGAAACCCCCCCAAAAAAGAAAATCATGACCTTTGCAGTTCTCCCCTCCAGATAAGTACATAAAATGTACCATCCAAGATAACTAAATACTAGAAGATGATTTTACACAGTGCTTTAAAAAAAACAGCTAATTTTAATGCTATGACTCTGGAACATACCAAAAAGATGGAAAGTAGGGAAGGAAGGAAAAGGAAATCTCATTTACAATGGTGACAAACATTCAGGAAAAATCTACATCTGATACTTCGACTCTGTATGACAAAAAAACAAAAACAAAAACAAAAAAAACACAAAAAACCCACAAAACTTCCGAGAGACATATATTTGACCCAGATACACAGAGAGATATTTTATGCCTCTAAATATTTTAAGGATGTCAATATTTCCCAAGTTCACTTCTATAGTAGTCCCAATAGGACTGAAGGGAAGGGAAAGGAAGGATCTAACAAAAGTAATTATAAAATTTATCTGATGAATATAATGGTAAGAACCATGAAAAAAAAAAAAAAGATTGTAAGAAAAATAATAAGGAAAGGATTTTGCCCTATCAGATCTGACATTTATGATTATAACCCTATGATACAATAGTGAGGTAATGGTTGAAGAACTGATGTACTGTTCAAACAAAAAAGATAATCCCAAACAAATGTTGATATAGTCATGAAATTAATATAACGAAATATCAATTAAGGAGGTGTTCCCTAAACAGTGCTGAAACCTAGAATTGATTTCACATTTATTAAACAATTAAACACAAATTAAAATCTTACAAAACCCAAAAGGAAGTTATCTGTGAATATAAAATTAAGACTATGGGGAAAGATCTTTTTACTCAAAGACAAAAAGAAATCAAAGAGAAAGGCATACACTGGGTTCATAAACATTAACAAGCAGAGGACAAAGCCTCACATTTGATACAAATAAAGTATTATATGCTAGCTTCTTATATATTTACTTAAGCTTCACAATACTACCACTATGTAGGTCTTAACTCTTTAAAGAAAAGAAAAAATTGAGGATTTCAATAACTAGCCCAATGCTTTATTTGATACAATACAATAAACAGTTAAGACCTGGATTCAAATTCAGGACTTCAAAGGCAAAAGTTTTGACCATTACACTATCTTCGCCCAACAGTGGGTTACTTTTCCTAATCTAAAGAAGACACAAATATAAATTCCTAAAGAGAAAAAAAAAAGGGAGAGTGGGGCCTCCCCTGGTGGTGCAGCGGTTGAGTGCTGGGCTGCCAGGCTGCCCGCAGCCTCTGCAGCACCAGATCATTCCCTGGATGCCGGCGAGGGTCCCACAAAAAAAAAAAAAGAAAGAAAAGAAAGGCACTGAGTGGAGGAATCACAGATTGCAGGCGGTTAATGAATATGAATGACAATTCAACTTCAGTGGTAATCACAGAAGTGCAAATAACACAACATACCAATTTTCATTTATAAAAATAACTATGTTTATAAAAATAACTGCTATTATTGAGAAGAATGAAAAATACATGAGTCCCTGTGGAAAATATATTTGCCATTATAGCATTTTAGGAACTGTCACTAGGGCCAATACAATGGAGGGGGACTTGCTATTGCATGACTACTACTTTATGTATACCTAGTTGGCTGTAGCTCCGGCTTCAAAGCTGTCACTACACACCACAGGAACCCTTCCCCTTGCACTTTCCCTTCCATGTAGAAAAAGCAGTGTGGTAAACTGGGAAGAGCAAACATTTTTATTACAATCCTAGATCTTATATCTACAAATGTATGACCTTAGGTAAATTTTTTTTTTTTCCTTTTTATCTCAGGGCATTTCAATTGCTTCATGTGTAAAACAGGGATAAACTCTGTCCTGTACAGATTTCAGGACTTAAAATCTCTTAAGAGCCTGATTCACAGTAGATGCCATTCACTTTAATATAAGATAGTCCTCCTTGTGATAAACAGAACAGATGATCCAGGTGGGACAGGTTTTTTGGCTAATTCATTCTCTGCAGCAGCTCAGCAAATGTGTGGTGAGTCAAATAGTTTCCTTATCCTTCCCTACTTCCAAAATGTGTATATATCAATACCTTCTCTCAGAGAAATAGCGGCTCCTACTCCAATCTGGTGCTAATTCTACCCTCTTAACTACCCATGCTCATTTTAGAATGGGTACATGCACCTGAAAAAATGAAAGGAAAAGCTCAACCATGTCACTCACTATACCCTTATATAACTACTATCGTCTTCCATTTAAAGCTTTTTCAAAGCATTCTACACTACTTCTTCACCTAATTCCAAGAGACCTTTGCTCAAAGGACTCCACTAAAACTCGTTCTCAAAACAGCCTTTCAGTCTACTGTATCGGACCTATCTGTGGCTTCCCAGTGTTAGCAGTACCCTCTGTCTTGGTTCCTTTCTTTTAGGGAAAAGCTAAACTTTCCTTCTCAGGGAAAAGTTTGCTTCCTCTTCTCCCCATATGGAAAGGACTCTACAACTGCTAATTCTGTTTTCCCTGGTCCTTTCCATTCACCTACGTCTCAAATTAGGGAAGAAATGTGGTGCTGTAAGCACAAGCAAGGCCTCTTGAGTCAATCTGATAATTCAGGGAAAGCACCAAGCTGATAATCTCATAGTAGATGAAGCTAGAGATGATGATGATGATGATACTTATTTTGGAGAACTGTTATGGTGATGAAGGAAATGGTGTATGTAGAGTTTAGCACAGTACCTGGCGCAGAGGAAAATTCTAGGCTATTTTCCTTCCCTCTCACATTCCTCCATAGCTTCAAATGCAACCCACCCACATCATCCCTCCCCACCACCCCACCCCAATACTGAAGACTCTCAAATCTCTATCGCCAGCAAAAACATTTTCTGGGCCAGTCTTCAGCTGGATATAGGCTCTACCTACCAGATATCTGCACCTGCAAGGCCCACAGCTCACAACCACAATAACTTCAGCAAATTTACCCAACACCTTGAAAACTGAACTCATCTACATTTATTTTCCTTCCATCCCTGGAAACATCATCCTCACCTTGCAGTAAACATATCACCACTGACCTGTCCAAATCAGAAGGAATCATCCTGGACCACACTGTCCCTCATACCCAGTCAATCAGTCACATAGCCACCTTTTCAGAGTCTCACTGGTCCAAGTCATCCTCACTGTTTGCCCCAACTAATGAGCCAGCTTCTCCCTTTAACTGATCACTTTATGGCTCACCATCTCACTCTGACACTGCATGCGTGTTTTTTTCTGAAATACAAATATAATACCATTTTCCATGGTAAAATCTTGTAGCAACTCCTTAATCTCCTGAAGAATGAAACCTAAACCTAAACCTGCACAACTTATACCAACTTATACTGATACCTTATATCATCTAAGCAGCCACTTCGCTGCCACGCCCCATTCACACTGTACTCCAGCCATCCCAGAACTCAACAAGTGCTCATTTCTTCTATATGCCATCTGTTTTTCCCTCTTCTATAATACAGGGCTGAACCTGGTGCCTTCCCCAACATTCTCCCCTCTCCAGGACAATGGGAATAGTTACACTATGTTGCTTCAAATCAAGTTTCTGTGGATTAACAGTTATCTAACCATGAGCAATTCATTTAACCTCTCGGTGCCTATTTCCTCACTTACAAGATAGGTTTGAAAACAATAATTATCCCTCATAGGGTTGTTGTAAGGATTCAGTAAGACACTCTACACAAAGAACTTAGAACGAAGTCTAGCACATGGTATATAAGACAAGGGTTTACCTGTTAAATATTCTGTAATCCTCACTGGACACATCGAGCCCTCCAGATTCTATGCTCACTCAGCACTAATATCAGTATTACAACACGTTTTAATTGCGGCTTTCCTGGCTGTATCTTCCACTAAATTGTGAGCAGTATACAGATTATACCTTTGCCTTAGTGCTTAGCAAATAGTATCAAATGTTCCCTTAAGTAATTAAGATTAAGTAAATTATAATTCTGTTCAAATATAAAGTGATTTCTTAAAGAAAGATAATTAAAAGTGCTTTTAGATTTTAGACTATTTAGAACACAACTTCACAATATAGATATGCAGTAAGAGCACATTTTGAAATTCACAGTAATTAAAAATAGACAGTTCCAAACTTAGCTTTTTAATTCCAAGGGATTCTAAAAACCAAGAGTGTTTAAAGGAACCAAACTCAATTATCACTCTTACATAAACACAACATACAAAAGTGGTTTTCCTTTCTTCTTACATTTATGGTTAGGATGAGAACAGCCTACAGAACAAAGGGCATGGAAGCTTCAGAAGAGCTTAGAAAGTAAACACCAGGATGTCTAGCACAACAGCTAACTAGGGTTTACAAAATCAAATACCTTTAGGGACCAGAGTAAAGTGGACAAAGTAAAGCAAAATAAAACAAACACTGGGTAATGTGGCAAATTAAAGAACATATACCCTATGTAGAAAAATTCTAATTTAATAATGTTTTAAAAATGGTACCATTAAATTTAATATTTTCAGTGGAACTTAGCCTTTGGCTACTAGTCTGTGGTCTCTGTGTGAGAATTCAGTAAGAGCCACTGATTCATTCTAGACACTATGTATAGTAATGAGAAGAACAGTAGTAAAAATATAGAGAGTAAAATGTTCAGAGTGCTAATCCTAACCCCAAAATGCTGAGAGACTCCAACTTTTCAAACTCCATGCTAGGACTTCCACTGGGAAAACAACACTTTTTTTTTAAAAAAAAAAACAAATGCTGGCATTTACAAGCGCTAGAAATAAGTGCTCATCAACAAATGGTTAAAGATGTGGTATGGATACAGAATGGACTACCATCTATAAGAAAGGATGAAATCCTTCCATTTGCTGTTACACATACAAATCTAGAGGTAACATACTTAGTGAAATAAGACAGAGAAAGACAAACACCATATGATTTCACTGATATGGGTATAAACAAATAGAATAAACAAATAGATGAGATGAACTAAATAAAGAAAACCAAACTTTTGGACCAAAAAAAACCAAACAAACATGCATTACATATCAGCATAGATGAATTTCATGAATACAGACAATCCTCATTTTACTGTGCTCTGCATTTTTGTATTTTGAAGACATTGCTTTTACAAATGGAAAAATTTGTGGCAACCCAGCATTCTGTATCCAGTAAGACCACCAGAAACATTTTTCTAATAGCACATGTTCACTTGGTGTCTTTGTATCACATTTAATTAAAGTATATACACTGCTTTTTAAAACCTAATACCATTTGCACACTTAATGGACTACAGTGTGGTGTAAATGTAGCTTTCATATGCACTGGAAAACCAAAAATTCTGACTCATTTTATTGTGATATTTGTTTTATTGCTTTGGTTCTGCAAGGAACCTGCAGTATCTCTGAGGTATGCCTGTATAATGGTGAAAAAAGGGACAGAATACATACAAAATGCCTCTTCTATAACATTCAAAAACACAATGCTAAACAAGATATTAATATGGTAGCCCTGGAAGGTGGGAGAAAAAAGCTGGTTTGTGGGTGGGTATATGAATGTTTATTATTTTTATATCTATGTGTGTTTATACGTATATATATAATACTCTATTTTATGACAGATTTCATAAAGCTGTTTAAAAAAAAAAACCCCGTATGTCACATACGATTTTGATATTCCAGAAACATCTCAATCATTTGTTCTTCTTCCTTTAATTTCACAGACAGTTTTTCTGAAAAAGAAATTGGAATTAGAGATTCCATGCAGCTGAAATAACACTAAAAATCAAGCAAGTATAAAAAAAATCATGTTACAAATTATCTGGAGGTACCCGCAAATGCTTTCACGGAGTCCTTGTAGGTATCTCGTAGTCCTGCCATCTGACAGGAGGTGTCACTGACAGTGCTTTTGAATTTATTCCAAAATTCATTTATGCTTTTATCAAATAATGCCAGCTCGTCTTCCACCATTTTGAAAAGAATGCTACAAAACAAAAAGAACACATACTTTTAAGTTATTGAAATTAAATCAGCCACATCTTCCAATCAAGTATTTTGGCAGACTGACATCTGTTAGAAAATGGTTAGCAACGTACTATTCATTCACCGTATTGCAGGGCTGATCAAGTTACCTGGACTCAACCACAGGTAAAATGTAGCAAGAATCCAAGACACCCTTACCTCCTAGAGACTCATTAGTGGAATAACACAAGAAACACTCCCTATAACCCTGGAGAAATGATTCTGACTCCATTTCCTCACAAGTACTATTGGTGACGTCTGTGGTCCCTTCCAACTCCAGCCAGAATCGCCAAGATCCCAAAAGGCGCCAAAAGGCGCCAAGATCCCCCCATCCCACAGGATAAGACCCCACACATCTACCCTGCCTCTCCTTTAGATCAGATAAGGTTATCAGTAAAATGGAACTGTCCTGGGAGTTCAGAGGGTTTAGTCCAGGACCTGGAGAAATCACGGGTCTTCTGGGCCTCTCTTCTCCTCCGTAAATGGGTTTCCTGTAAGATTCCAGGCCCTACTAGTTCTCTTTACACTAAAATCTTCCCAATAACCCGAAACCTTCCCCAAAGGGCCACAGACATCTCGTGAGGTGAAATTCTGGATCTCTCGACCGAGCCTGTGCCCACTCCGCTCGCTCGGACGGTCCCAACAGCAACATCCAAGCGCTTCACAGAAACCGCCCCCCAAAACACACACTCCGCCCTCAACCCCACTTTCCTTTAATGCGACAGGTCGGAGAGACCAGCTCATCCTCATCTCCCTCACCGTCACCAGCAGGTCTGGGCCCCGCCGCCTTTTTCCACAAAAGACCTGAGCCAATTCCAACCAACAGCTGCTCTTCAGACGCAGTTCCTGCAGTCTCGTCAACTTCTCTCTTTCAAACAAAGCGCTTTCCGCCTTCCGCCCTAGGGCGCCCCATCCGCCTTTGGATTGGCTGATAGCGCAGGTTCTCTATAAAGGGATTGGCTGTTCCAGCCCTCCGAGATTCTCGCGGAAGAGCTAGGGAAAGGGGCATTCTGGGATTTGTAGTTCATGTTGATTGTCCGACGCATTCTCAGTTTCGGTTTAGAAAGTAGTAATAACTCCCGGAGGATTCTCTCCAGGACCCAGAAATTGTCAATTCAAATAAAGTGTTATTTAACAAATATAAATATTGAATTTTAGTCGTGTTCTGTTGTTAAGTTCATACCCTTTTCTTTGATACTACCGGTAGCTTGAATAAACCTAATAAAAACCAATAAAGCTAATTTAAATACCTCTGTTTAATTTGTGTCACATTTAATAACTCTTCACTGGGAAATGACTGGAACACTCATTGAGTATAATAATTCATAGAGTATAATAAATAATAATAATACTTTGTTTATATACCCAAAGCAAAGAGTAAAAGTGATAGTAAAGGCAATACTTAAAAATGTTTTTTTGTTTTTATGATTTATGTTCTGCCTACTGCCAATGTATGATATTGCCACGCTAAAACACATATAAATTAGTCTTTTAATAGAATAAGGTCTAAGTGAGCAGAGAAATAGAGAAATTATTACAAATGAATATGCACTTCAAGGAAGGTGACACATGTGGCTCCCTTCACAAGACAATCACACTACTTGTATTAAAGAAACAAGCATTTTGCTATGTTTGGACAAATACAGAATACATTCCTTCTAATCTGAGTCAAATTAATCAGTATGTGTGGTTATTTAGTATTATTCATTTAATACTTTGCCAATATCTCATAAGAATAATAGCTTTCATTTCAAAATAATGGATACTAAATTTTAAACAAGTCAGAAAACAGATTCAGTAATTTCCTTATGCCATTACTAGTTCAAGATAATAAATAATTTCCTCCTTGGAATAATCCTTGCAGCATTTCTCCAATACATTCCTGATAGAATATGGCAAAGCATGACTGTTCGATGAGCAAAATGAAGAAAGAGTTCATTAGTAAGGCCTTGAGATATTCACCAGTGACACAAGGCTGCAAATACATCTTTTATACCAAGGTGAACATTTTGTAGCTGACTCATTTTCTGCCCCCTTTACTGGACTTTTTTTTGTTAAGTTAACTCCAATTGTGAGTAGGCAGAAACAGTTATATATTCCTCAAAATAGAGTCTTATTGTTTAAGAAAATTCCTTCTTTTCAACTCCTCCAACTCTAACAATGTTTTTCTAACCTACAAGAACAATATGGTACTATCTTCCAGAACTTCAAACTTTAAAGAACTAAAACACTATCAAAATCACTTGCTACATTCCTTGGCAATTGACCAGAAACTGTACAAGCTATTCAACTCACTTTGCAAGAGGATTGACAAGATGTGTGGAATCATGGAGTCAGGAACTCCAAGTAGATGAAATTAATTCACTGTTTGAATCCTTGTTAGTAAAGCTGAAAAAGAAAGAAAAAAAACTCAGATGATATGTAATCTAAGGAATAGAAAATACAGATGGCTATCATTATGGAGTAAAAGTTCTTATTTTTATCTTTGACCATGACATGTTTGTGAAGACAAAGTCCTTGACTGCAGGCCAAAAGGTCTTTACTATATTGCTACTTTCTTTCATCATCATTAAGAACCCAAACACTATCAATGAAATAAAAATGTAAATAACATACACAAGACTACCAGATAATGGACATTCTATCGCCAGTCTGTTACTGTGCATATCAGTCCTAGCAGACTAAAACAGCCCCCTGAAAGAAAAGAGTTTGCAAGAAAACACCGTTACAGGAGTGGTATGGGTGCCAATTAGTGGAGGCAGCTTTGAGGAAGTGCACATAAGCTAAGATGGTAAAAGTCTAAAAATGATGAACTCTGGGGAGCAAACACATTTACAGATCTTGTTAAAAGCAAAAGAAATCAAGGTGCTTTTTCATCAGTTAATATCCCACAGTTGATAAAACCAGATAGTCCCTGGGAGACCATCTGTCTAAAGTAACCACCTAAGATAAAAAGCTAATGTGCAGTCAATTTCATTACAGTTCACAGACTGTGAAGTATTGAATGAGCATGAGGCTGAATTTTAATTGTAACACAAAATATATTGGATATTATTCACATCCTGATTTAAGGATAAGACATTTCTGAAGAAAATGAATATTAGGAAATATGTAACTCAATATTTCTTAGAAAAAGAATAAAGCAAAGCAATGTCCTTCTTCATGGCTCATTAAAGAGATTACAGGAATTATAGAACCTGAATATGCAAAATAAAAAAGCCAGAAGCATAGGCTCTGATTAGTCAAGGCTAATACTGCATACAGACTAGTGATATATCTAAATAAATTGATTTGTCTTTGGTAAACAAGTGTATGTGATCAAGTGTATGTAACGCATTGACTAAGAAATATAAAATCACAAGATAGACGAGGGATTGTTTTTGTTTTGTTTTGGTCGAATGACACCATGTGATATTCAGTTTGTTTTGTGAGAGACTGAATATAAAAATGGACAATGGGGGCCTCCCAGGTGGTGCAGGGGTTAAAGTCTCAGTGCTATCAAGCTATTGCCAGACACTGCAGCCAGAATTCTATCCTGGCTGTGGAGCTAACCCACATGGCGCAGCAGACCTCTCCTGTCTCCCCCATTGTCCCTCTCAGCAGTATATTTCAGCAGATCCATCCACCTATTCTGCTCCCCACTCTGTCTCTAGTGAATCCTCTCATCCCCCACAGCTCTGGCCTGTAACCCAGTTCTTGTACGCCTAAGTAAATAAAAATAAATCTTTAAAAAAATGGACAGTGGCCAGACCAATTATGACAATTGAACTCTGACATATAATCTCTGAAGCAATCCACTCAGAGTGGTCACAACTGTCTCCCAGTTCCCCAACTTTTTTGCCCCTACTTACAACTCAGGACCAACTACTGAAAACCAAATAGGACAAGTCACCCAACAGAAGTTCAAAGTAGTGACTGCATTTGTGAAATTATGCTAGTGATCTGGCAACTGACCAGATGGGCATCTGTGTCAACCAACTATCTCTGAGGACTACGCAGAAGAGGTTTTTGGCTGGGAATTGAAGTTCTGGCTGTTGATAGCAGAATCAAGCTGGTTATATCATCAGCTTTTATTCAGTTTGCAGCTGTTCTAAATCTTACCAATGTTGGCCTTAAGCAGCATGGACACCGCTTAAACTAAGAAGAAGAATTGCTCTGGAGATAAAATTTAATCTCTAAACAGGGCTATAACACTAAAATGACCCAGGGCAGGTTACTTGTCCATTTCCTCATCATTGAAAACATTACTGGACCTCTGTGAAGTTAAAATCAGATAATAAGATAGAGTATTTTTAAAGTGAAAAATTGGAAGAGCATAAATGCAAGACATTCTAAAGCACAATGAGTTTTTAACGCAATTAATTTCACCCTAACACATACATCATTTAGATGAGATTAGCTCACTAGTGGGAGAACTGAGTGTGGGTGTAATTCATAGGCTGCCTGGGGAAAGAGCAAAATGTGCTGAGAGCCAGTGATGACTGACACTTTCTGATTCTCCTTTTACTAAAATGATAGGAATGATAAAAAGGGGCTGGTAAGACCCTTACTGTGGACAGAGATTAAAATTCATTTCCTGGCAGCCATTTAAAGTCACTTTCTGAGAAATGACATGGTGTAGCTTGTGATCCCACTTTGTGGCTGTCAAAGCAGAGTTCTCATCCACAGAAACCAGGATGTATTTTAAGGTCCTTCTAGTCGTGCCCACAGAAAACTCAGGGAGGAAAATTTCCAACAGCAGGCCCTATTTCCTCAGAAGTGATTTCAATTGTTTCAGTCATCATTGTTTCACCTCTTCTGGCCCAAGTACCAAGTTCATATGCAAACTGTCACAAGATGGGTAATTTTTCATTAGAGTACACTTTTCGGCAATATAAAAGTAAGATTCTCTGAAGTCTTGACAAGATGAATCAGTTAGTACAGAAATGAATATAGCAGGAAAATCCAGTTACATCCAATAAATTACACATTAAATGTCATTGAAGCTTCTTTCAGGTTGACTTACAGCAGGGAGTGGGGTTGAAGACGGAAAGGAGAACAGGTCATGTATGGATTGCTTTATCATGATGAGTCTCAGCACCAACTGCACATTGGAATAGCTTGGGAAGTATTTTTAAAATACCTATGATTGGATCCCATCACCAAAAATTTCATTAGTCTCAGGTAGGACAAGTTCTTACATTCTAAAAAAGGACCCCAAAAGATTTTAATTCAAAGCATTTCTTCCAGGAGAGGTAACAAGAGACTGGAAAGATATCTGTACACACTGGAGTCCCCATAACAAGTGGCACTGTTAAATGATGGGGCAGGAGGACAGAGAAATTCAAAGTGGTGTTCTTAGCTTGTGAAGAAGTTTCTCAGTGAAGGGGGCAATGATTAGTGAAGACACTATAAGAATGGTAAGATAGCAAGAAAGATTACTTGCCTCCCCTTCTGCCACCTGGTGGGACTTGATAACTTTCATATTGACCTCGAAGACATAATCCAGTTCTAAATCTAGCATCTCACTTCTGACTTGAATCCATAGGTCTCTTTGAAGTGCCCTTCTGTTTATTTCCAATCTACAAGTTTGTTTTGGTGCTTCCTGAGTACTTGTACTGAACACACTGTTTTCAACACCCATTTCCTGATTGTTCAAAGACTTTGAAGTCCATTCCTATTTTTTTGTCACACGAGCAACTCCCCAATGGTCTCAATTGTATTCTCTAGTCAATAAACATGACACAGTCCTAGCAGTTCTGTAGTCCAAGTGAACTCTACCTCTGCTTTCCTGTCCTGTGGTCAGAAAGTAACAAATTTCCTTGCAGATTTCATATGCTCCAAGTATTTCTTTCTCTGTTCCATACATATCACATCATTGCCTTTGCTAATAAATAAATATCAAAATATTTTTTATTTAAAAGTCCACTATCAGGGCCTCCCTGGTGGTATAAGAGTTTAAGACACAACCTATGAAGTCTGCAGGCACTGCAGCACTAGTTCAATTCCCGGCCGGCCAGGGAAGAACCCACATGGCCAGCAGACCTCTCCTGACTCGCCCACTGCTCCCCTCAGCAGTGTATTTCAGTCTGCCTGTTCTGCTCCCCACTCTGTCTCTGGTGAATCCTCTCACCCCCCACATCCCTGCCTGTACCCCAGCTCTTGTATGCATAAATAAATAAATCTTTTTTAAAAAGTCTGCTATCAGATGATAATGTATCACCATATCATTTTTCATGCCTGGATATTTACTCATATTTTCCCCCAAAGGCCCAATAAAGTAGTCAAAGAAACACAGTCTATTTTAAATTAAAATGTATGGCTTTAAGGGCTAGTTAACATACTGTAATTATTTGCGTAGACTTCTAGCCAAGCATAGAAACTGCTAATGTCTGCCCTTAAAGGAAATGAACTGTGCAAGAAATTTCAAGCAAACATGAGCCAACTGTTCACACAAAACGGAGGTTGCATAAGAAATTCATTACATTTCTACCCAAATTTCCCCTCAACTTGCCACAGATCAGCGTGTATTTCACTTCACCTCTTTGGCACCAATTAAAATTATAAATAAATGAGCTTTTCAACAGTGCAGGGCCCACATGCCCTCTCCTCAAGAGTTAGCATCACATGGTGTAATAATGGCTGGACATGCTGCAAGTCACCATATAAAGCAGTGGGACCCAACCCAGCAGCTCCAACTGCTCTGTGTTTACCATTATCTTTTTTTTTTAAGATGGATTTCCTTCATAGGAATGGAGTGCTCGTTATTCAGCATTTGCAGAAGGACTATCGAACATACTACAATTTTCTAAATTTTATGTCCAATGTTGGAGACCCCCGGAATATCTTTTTTATTTATTTTCCACTTTGGTTTCAACTTAATCAGACAGTTGGAACCAAGATGATTTGGGTGGCAGTCATAGGGGATTGGTTCAATCTTATTTTTAAATGGTAAGACTTCTGTTTTATTTCATTTTTACTAAAGCTTATTCTTAAATTTGCAGCTTCAATTTCTTGATCACATTTTAGGTGTATAGTTATTTATTTATTTTTTTAAGTGTATAGTTTTACTTGGAAAATCTTTCAAACATACTGGTTAGCTTGAAACATTGATTCATAAATAGAATTTACAAGAAATATAGAAACGTATGTGTTTTCTGACTTAGAAGTAAATTCCAAAACCCTGAATGCACATGTTTCAATTAGGCAAGAAGTTAATAATTAAATGAGCAGCATCACAATGAACAAATCAATGCTTCTAGGGACCACTTTGATATTACCCATCTAAGTATCCAAAGCACCTACAGGACTTCCCTTATATGGAAAAAAGTTCCTGTTTTTACTGGAAACTAGGATGATAAGCCCCAAATGACTGTCATCCTCTATAATGAGAACAGACCAGAACCCAAGTTCTTTTAAAGTCTCCTAATCATGAGCTTTCCCTATCGACCTTCAGCTTGAGTCATTCTCATAGGAGAAAATAGCTTTTTCCAGTTAAGTAACAGTTGTGTATTTAAAGATATATATTTAAATATATATATGCATATTTGTATTTCTTGGAATACAGGATATTGTTTGGTCATCGGCCGTATTGGTGGGTGCAAGAAAATCAGATTTACTCAAATCACTCAAGCCCATGCCTCGAGCAGTTCCCCACTACATGTGAAACAGGTCCAGGTAAGAGTGATACCAGCCTCAAATTACTGAAGATATTCCAACAGACAGTCATTAGATATAATTATCATCTAATAACTGTATATAGTGTATTAAAGAAGTGGGTATGCATGCTAAAAGTTTATATACATAAATGTTGCCAATGAGAAAAGAGGAATTTTACAAATAATCAAATTTCATATCATTATTGGTAAAAGACTAAGTTAGGAAAATATTTACCAAATGATTTTATATTTGGCGTTTTATTTTTTGTCAGGATATAATGGTTTGATATTTAAATATACCAAAAAAAGTTAGCTAGAAAAAATTCCCAAGGAGCTATACTAAAATCCTAGAAATGTTTATTTATCTGCTGCTGAGCAACTTTCAAAGTTATTATAGGTCTTCTGAGAATCTCACGAATGAGGGAAAAATCAACAAGATTTCTAAGAGAGGTAAGGCCTTCCTGATATTATGAATGTGAGCAAAAATTATTTCTAATCTTAGGATTATTTCTTTAAATATTATTTTATCTTAGTATAAAGCATACAAACAGACTTCTTGGGTCATTTCTTTGTATTATAAGAATCTATATGATTGTAAAATCTTTACTGTAGATGTTGAATTTAAGATTGCAAATAAGACTATGAAATATATATGAAAATTACATGTTATTGTTAATTTATAAGACTGTATTATATTATACTTCATCACAGTTTGTTACATAGTAAAAAATTTTGCCATTTGACATCTTGGAGCTGAATATAGCAAATGCATAAATTCCTAATAAGTTATCTGAATATCATTCTTTTTTGCTCTCATGAAAGTGTATTTCCATCTGATATATAACTTATAACACTGTACTATAATTAATTCTTTATGTGCTAGCTTCCATATAGACTATGCATTCCATCAGGTCATGGATGGTATGTATTTTACCTCTGTGAAAGCAATGTTGGATGGATGGATGATCTTTGAAAGGACTGAAATGTTTATTTGGTCTATCCCAGCACTTACCAGTATGTGTTCTATTTTATGAGAGATATTCTGGTGGGGAAAATTGCATTCTCTTTGCATTCCTTGCAAATTTACAATTCATTTAAGAACATAAGAAGTTCTGAAAAGATCTACATAAGCATAGATTTAAAAGAATTAGTTCTATAAAAAATAGATTTGTCTTTCTTTAATTCAGTATTTTTCAAAAGGAACTGGTATCTGCCTGAATGAATCTCCTGTTGGCAAAAACTAGGGGGAGAACATCAAAGCAAAGTCATTAAAAAAAATTAAGCAGCATGGGAAAGCTATTCTGATAGTAAAACAGTTACCCGTCTTCTGGCTTCTTCACTAGGATTTATTTCCCTTCACAGTTCCTCCTTGTCCATTTCAAAATGAAGATGCCCATTGCAGTGGTGGGTAACTGCTGATACTTAGCAGTCATTTGTAAGTCAATGGGTAATTCAGACATAACTATGATATCCTTTAGATGTTTGTCTTTTCAGCTCAAGGAAAATAAACAGATTCAAGATCCAGTACAAGTACTTTAAACTTCTCATCAATTAAAAACAATTAGAAGTGAAGGATTAGGTGGGTGACAGATTTGGGTACAATAGTCTGAGTTCTTAGTTCATCTTGAGGTTCTGATTTCCAGAAATCAATGAACTTGAGAAATCTGAAAAAAATTGAAATAGTGTTTTGAGGCTTAATTTCCTTTATATCTACCCATTTCTAAACATTATGTACAGCTTATGCCTTTTGATATTTCCCTGAGCTATTTGTAATTTGCATGACTAAAATACCATTCTACCTTTTTCTAATATTGATACTCTATCAACCATTTTTCAAATGGATCAATACTTTGTTGTTGCAGGAAGTCCATCTGGCCATGCAATGGGCTCTTCCTGTGTCTGGTACATCATGGTAACAGCTACCTTGAGCCACACTGTCAGTCAAATGGATAAGTTGTCTACCACTCTGCACAGGTCAGCTTTGCCTTCACTTCTGTAGCACTGCAATATGACAATTTTGAATACAGAAAATCTTTTTCAAAATTCATTTTAGCATATCTTTAGTTGTTGAAATATGCTTATTCAAAATGAATAGAAAATGAATATTTTCCTCTAAGGTAAATGTTCTAATTAGCTCAGAGGTATTGCCACTTATAGGGCTGGAAATGCTTAATTGAGTTATAATTTGCTAAATGTGCCTTTAGTTTTCTTTAATGCAATAATCACTTTGATGACTCGTTAATAAGTCATCCAAAGTTATATAAGGAAATATTTTTGTATGTATGTTCCCTCACTTTGAGATTTACTAGATTTTGAGAATCATTCTACCAGTTTATTTGGCATAATTATACATCCCTCTCTAAATAGCCAATGCTTTTAACATCAATGTCATAATATTCTAACTTTAAAGACTTTGCAAACTTTTTCATTAAAAACTTTCTAGAGCTAAACTTAAATTTCAATGTAAGTAGATTTAGTTAATGTTAGTAGATTCATAACATTTAAAAAGGCCTGGAAATTTAAGATCCCTCACAATTTTGTAGAATGGGACTGTCTCCTATTTTTTCCTAAAATACTCTATCATTAAAATAATCCTGAGCACCATTCTACTCATAAATTATTAGATTGTCTAGGACAAGACTTGTCAGTTAATTGCTTAATACTAACTTATACTGGTCTCTAAAAGTTCTTCTAAAATAAAAAATTTCCCAAAATCCATCAAATAGTCCATTTTGTACAAGTAGTACTGGGTTACATAAGCAAAAAAATGACCAAAGAAATCTGGGCATCTTTAAAGTTTATCCTAATGGACTATCACATGTGTTCATTATTCAGGACAAAACAACAGCAATAGAAAGTTGTTATAATTTAAAGAAATTAACATTTTCTATTCAAAGACAATTTTTTCAAAGTGGGAATCTAGATAAGCTTTACTTTTTTTCTGTAGTTCATTTTCTTCCTTCTTTCCAAATCTGGATAAATTTTTGTTTCTTGTAAAAAATTATTCTTGTAATTCTTTTTCAGTTTTTGTAAGTTCAGTGTTTCCTTCATGAAGCAAAATTTGCTGAGTGCCTATTCCCTACCTTAACCTGACCAAATTCTTGCTTATTTTTCTTTCATTATTGTGACCCCTGCTGAGTTCCTCTTCTAAAGTCTCATTTTTCTTTAGTCCATAGTCATTCAGTAACTAAAATTTGGTCCTATTATCAGGAACACACCACTCAGAACCTTTGAAGATTCCTGGAACTCAACACTGCTGATTCTTTTCTTTCTTTCTTTCTTTCTTTCTTTCTTTCTTTCTTTCTTTCTTTCTTTCTTTCTTTCTTTCTTTCTTTCTTTCTTTCTTTCTTTCTTTCTTTCTTTCTTTCTTTCTTTCTTTCCTTCCTTCCTTCCTTCCTTCCTTCCTTCCTTCCTTCCTTCCTTCCTTCCTTCCTTCCTTCCTTCCTTCCTTCCTTCCTTCCTTCCTTCCTTCCTTCCTTCCTTCCTTCCTTCCTTCCTTCCTTCCTTCCTTCCTTCCTTCCTTGAATTATTTTCATTTATATAAGAACTGGGGTATAGTCCAGATGCGCAGGAGGGTGAGATGATTCACCAGAGACAGAGCGGGGAACAGAACAGGCAGACTGATGAAATACACTGCTGAGGGGAGCAGTGGGCGAGACAGGAGAAGTCTGCTTGCTATGTGGGTTGCTCCAAGGCCTGCGGGGATCGAACCGGCAGCTTCACAGCGCTGCGCTCAACCACCTGCGCCACATGGGAGGCCCTTTTTTTTTTTTAAGATTTATTTTTATTTATACAATAGCTGGGGCACAGGCCAGAGGCACGGGAGGGCGAGAGGATTCACCAGAGACACAGCGGGAAGCAGAAAAGGCAGACAGACTAAAAGCACTGCTGAGGGGAGCAGCTGGTGCAACAGGAGAGGTTTACTGCACCATGTGGGTCTCTGTGGCCGGCTGGGAATCGCATCTGTGCTGCAGAGGCTGTGGACAGCCTCACAGCACTGCGCTCAACCCACTGCGCCACCAGGGAGGCCCTGATTATTTTTATATTAAAATGATAAATACTGCTTGGATTTTAATATTTTTATTTTTTGCATGTTGCTGCTTCTAATTCAAAGTATATATTCTACAGGTCAACTTTCTTATCCTTATTTTTGATATCTCAATTTTTTTTAATATTTATTTACTTATTTTGTAGAAGAACTGGGGTGCAGGCCAGAGGTTGGGGGGGTAGGGGGGGTGAGAGGATTCACCAGAGACAGAGTGGGGAGCAGAATAGGCAGATTTACTGAAATCTGCTGAGAGGAGCAACAGGCAAGACAGGAGAGGTCTGCTGAGTCATATGTGGGTTAGCTCCCTGGGAGGGGATAGAACTCAGGCCTCAGTGATGATAGCTCTGAGACTTAAACCCTAGGCCACCAGGGAGGCCTTTGATATCTCAATTTAAAATAGTGAAATAGAACTTTTGAGAATTTGTGAAATTAAACTTACTGAAAACTTGTCCTCGACATAATGCTCCAAGCACTTTTCATCACAGTGGCAGCTGCCTTTCCAGTGAGTTTTCTTCCAAAAAGCAAGGTTTAGAGGGAAGGGTAATAAGGTAGAACAAATCACAGAGTAAAAATGTGTATGATTTATTCTTCATCATTCTGGATATTAGTAATTCTTCCTAAATTTGCATTTCCCTTAACTCCATTAAAACAATGATTAGGAGTCAAATTGTCTTCCTTTTATAGCATTAATTAAAATCACAGGATATAGCGCTGATTAAGTTTAATGCATTGATAAATGTAGAAAGTTCTCTGTTAAAGCTTTTCAAATCTTATGGAGCATGTAGAAACGTTTTGAAAAAAAGACTCTAGAATCAAGAATGTATATCACAGATAGATGATTCCTCTGAGGAAGCTCATGTGGTGTCATCCCCCTTATTTTATGAGTGGTACAGTTTCTTTGCTTTTTACGCTTGTTTCTTCCATCGTAGACTGACCTGGTCATTTCTTTGGAGTCTTTTTTGGTTGATTCAAATCAGTGTCTGCATCTCCAGAGTATTCATAGCAACACATTTTCCTCATCAAGTTATTCTTGGAGTAATTGGTGGTAAATATGATCCCTTACCTTTAGTTGTGTAATTTTGGAGACAGCTTTAGTATCATTTGTATTATGTTGTCAGATTCTCCCTGGTAAACAGTTCCCCAATCTCAGGAATTCTGTCAAGTCACGATACTAAATGCCACCCTGGGAGCTTAAGTGGTTGAACACACTTCTCAGATCCACTCTGGACACACTTGGTTGGTATCAGTGCATTAACTCTTGAGTACTGAACAGCTCTTATGAGAGCTGAGTCTAACTCTCGTGCTGTGGCTCAGGGAACTTAATTATGTCCTTCCAACTTGGACACAATGCCACTCTCTCTGAAACAACTGGAATGGTTATTACAAGACAAGGAACCTCACTTAGTAGCTGCTTTGCATTCCTGATACAGCATTCACTATGATTGGGTTTCTGCAGTTCAATCCCACATACAATTCAAAGGCTTTCTAAATTAATTGCCTATGACAGTTGAAATATTAATTGCAAACACCTCAATCAGTGCTCTGCCTTTGCAGTGCACTGGATCGTGACTCAGTGCCACAGACTCCTGGATGATCCTCTTGTGCTTGTAAGAGTGGCATCAAGACCAAGAGGGCAATTGTGTGTTTTTATTTATTGCTTCAAAAGAAGCCTTTGGGAAATGGAAAGAACATAGGTATCTAAAGCCCTTTTTAAATGAAAACTATGGCTAAATTTTTGAATGCAGAGAGGATTGATTACCACAAAGCTTAAGGGAACATAGTAACCTGAGCATTCTCTCTTATCCACAGGCATGCTGGTGGCAGAGGTCTTTGAACACGCAACAGGCATCCAAACGGCCAGTCTGAGCACTTATCTGAAGACCAACCTCTTCCTTTTCCTGTTTGCCCTTGGCTTTTACTTGCTCCTCAGACTGCTTGACATTGACCTGCTGTGGTCTGTACCTATAGCCAAGAAATGGTGTGCTGACCCCGACTGGATCCACATTGATACCACGCCTTTTGCAGGACTTGTGAGAAATCTTGGAGTCCTGTTTGGTTTGGGCTTTGCCATCAACTCACAGATGTTCCTCAGGAGCTGCAGAGGGGAAAACGGCTACAAGCTGAGCTTTCGACTGCTCTGTGCCGTGGCCTCTTTGACCGCGCTGCAGCTCTACCACTTCGTCAAGCTTCCCACTCACACAGAGCATTTATTTTATGTGCTATCTTTCTGTAAAAGTGCATCCATCCCACTGACCGTGGTTGCACTGATTCCTTACTGTATTCATATGTTAATGAAACCAAGAGAAAAGAAGACTGATTAGAGTTGTGCTAAGGGCTAATCATCTGTGGGCCCAGGATGACCTCCTCCTCCAACCTCCCGTAGAACCACAGAGCAGGGAGAGATTGGAGGCTCTAAATTAAAGGACATGAAATGGCGGCCCATCCCACCCACACATAATGTTTAGTTTAGTCTTAACAGTGGCTTTTTTTTTCCCTATTTTGAATTAGTTACTAGCAAGTAAAAAACCAGAATATTTGACACAAAAATTTCTGCATTTTCTTTAAAATCTGGTACCCTGACAGCATAGGATCTTTGGTCCCTCTGGGGCCAATGGGTAGCTGCTGACTCCAGGTACTCTCCATCATATCACTGTCTTCAGCACCCTAATAGGAGCCCCAGCATCAGATCTTTCTCTTTGTGAGAGCAGGCTAGCTGTGCCTACTAAGGGCATTCTAGTGGGGACCCCAGCCAAAGTCCAATTTCCTCAGTTTTCAGATAAGGAAATGTTGGTTCATTCAAGTGAGAAAACTTGCTGTTGTGGCTCCACAATCTGGACAGGAATTTGAACCCAAGTCTTCACACATTCCCATTATGCTGTTTAGTTTTTCCATTCTCTAGAAGTAAAAACCTCTAAGAATGAATGCTTTTATATAGACTCTATGTTGGTGGCCATGTAAGTCAGCTATTTTTCTGGAAATGACATTAAGATGCCACATCCTGCTTGACTTGCACCATGCATCCAGGCAGAGTGGCAGTGGGATCAGTGTGGCGCTAGCCATGGGCACAGGGGAAGCAAAATGGGCCAGGCTACTGTCTGGACTTGAAACTCTGTTTCACGCCTGGTATCTGTTTTACAATTTTACTTTCCAGTAGTTCAATAAATGCTGCTATAGATATTCTGTTTAGAACATTATTCACTCCAAAAGGCTTATCTCTTCACTATGACATCCCTATACTTTATTTTGACGAGCCAGTCTTTTAAAACCAGAGAAGTCAAGTGCCTTCCTCAAGGTTTGCTTTCTAAACCAAGAAAATTATTAACTGCTTGTATCTGTCAGCTGGTTTAATCTCTGTGTATCATGAACTGTGATGAAAATGTACTGCTTTGCTTTAAAAATTATTGTTGATGAAGTGTTAATATCATACTAAGACTTTCTCAGGAAAGTTTTTTTAGTCCTCATTAGGCCTAGTGTTTCTGGGCTTTAACCTTGATAACTGTGTCATTTTAATTGAATACATATTTTATCAGATTTTGCTAAACATCTTAGTGACCTGTGATCCACCACAATGTTTTATGTAACTGTTCTCAAGAAGATTGATGTATAAATTATTGTAGAGATGACATATTAAATAGTCCATAAAGATTTATGAAAACATATCAGTTCAACTGAGTATTATTTGACAAAATATTAGTTGAGGATAATGAAGCCTCTACAAAATCAGAGTAATTATTGACCCTGTTTCTATTTATAGAGAATATGCTGCTGCTTTTTACAAAGTACAATTTTCTTTTAAAAGGTAACTGAACTTGATTTCATGGTTGGGAGATTCGTAAGCAAAAAGCTGAAGGGTGAAGAAAGTTATCTTAAAAACAAGTCTCATCTTGATGTGACATTTGAGGTGAAAGAAGAATGTTTCTTAAAGCGATGATCCTTGTTCATTGGTTCAATTTCCTCCCCACCAGTGTTGTCCCTTAGAAATCATTTTAATCCATTAACACATTATGACTCATTTGTTTTGTTACACATTCTTTATATTTGTCAGAGATCTCATTCCTAAGAACTTTTGTCAAAGTTTCACTTGAGAAGAGTAATGTTGGTCTTGTAGAATCATCCACCCCAATACAGTTTCAACCTGTTCTGCACAAGACCTGAGGAAACTGAGGCATTAGAGCCAGGGAATTCTGCTATAAAGCTTGATCCACCTTAAATCCTTTTTTGTTTCCCAAAGAGAAGCTCCTGTTAGCTACCTCAGGGATTGCTGTCTGTGGGGTGATACCCCCATCCTCAGAAAAAAGAACAGTAGTAGGTTGGGTTTTTTTCCTGTAATGAACCCCCAAACAATTCTTCTCTTATCTACATAAAACCCTAGAGATCCTACGTGATGAGGTTTTACTTTTTACATTAGTTGAAGTCTCCTGGAGGGCTTCAATGTGGTGGCAAATTGTTTTTGCAATCCAAACTGCTTAGGCAGCAAGAATAGCTTCTCTCAGCCTTGGAGAAAATGCCTACTTTTATTAGTGATGGAAAAGACTCCCTTGCTTCCAATTTGCCAAAAGTAAGTGAAATGAGATTCATTTGACTTACTGTGACAAATAGGAGAAAAATGTCAGTATCATGAGCTTTCAGGATGAGAAAATATAGACCAGTTACTTAGGAAACTGTCCAATCAAACATACGTTTAAAAAGAAATGCAAAGGGATTTATTACTGCTGAAGTACACTATCAAGAATGTTGATCCTTTTTCCTTTGACAACCTGTTGATAGTACTTCTGCCTTAAAGGGTTAAATTGGTGCCTTCTCTACACCTATTTCAATACAGCAAAAGGTCATTTAGAATAATTACGTAAAATGACTTGGGAACTCAAAGTTATATCTCCAAATGCTGCACATGTGTTCACAATCTATAAATAAATTCAAAATCAAATCAACTCACATACATACAAAAAATCCTGGTAAAAGAAAGTCAAAAGACTTGGTTTTTAAAATGTGATTCAGATCTTAAAATTATTAAAGCTATATATCCCATCATTCTTCAAAAGAGTTATTTAAAATGTTCTGTATTTCGTTGCCCCAGAGTATAGCCAGTAGCCACATAAGCTATTGAGTTCTCAATATTAACATTGAGTTAATGCAATTGAGAAATTGCACATTGAAATTTCATTTACTTTCAATTCACTTAAATTTAAATAGTCATATGTGCCTAGCGGCTACTGAATTGGCCAGCACAGAACAAGCCTTAGAGTATTTTTCCCTGAAAAAAGAAAGTACTTTTTTTTTTTTTTTTTTTTGTGGGACCCTCGCCGGTGGCCAGGGATCAAACTGGTGCTGCAGAGGCTGCGGGCTGCTTCGCAACCCAGCATTCAACCTCTGCGCCACCAGGGGAGGCCCGAAAGTACTTTTTATATTGTCATCTATACTCATTCCTGTGAGATACTGTGGATTGGTACTAACTGCTTTATTTTATATGGCGGAACTGAAACATCAGTAATTTGTTGGCAGGAGGTATGTTTGGACGTAGGTATGTTTACTTCCACTCAAGGATATTTTGATTGTCCTATGGATGTTATTTTTCAGATAAAAACAACTGAACCTCCCTGGTGGCAGAAGGGGTTAAGACGCAGCACTATGAAGCTATCTGTAGCCACTGCAGCACAGTTTGATCCCCGGCCAGGGAGGTGACCCACATGGTGCAGCAGACCTCTCCTGTCTCTCCTGCTGCTCCCCTCAGCAATGTATTTCAGTAGGTCTGCCTGTTCTGCTCCCCACTCTGTTTCTGGTGAATCCTCTCACCCCCCACCCCATCTCTGGCCTGCACCCCAGCTCTTGTATGCATAAATAAATAAATCTTTAAAAAGAAAACAGTAATAGAAACTGTTGATGGAAAGATTTTAAAAAATGTACTCAGTGATAGGTAAATCTATGTGATTTTTACACATATAAAAGAAAGTTTTAAATTGTCTGGTAACTAACACTAATCATTCCTAGGACTTGAAAAATCAAAATGTTTTAAAAAGTTAATATTAGATTCACCTGCATTTTTGAGGGAGAAACCGCAGCACATCTGGGGCTCTCTGGCCTGCTCCCTTCTCTCCTCTGTCTTGTGGGCTCTAGCTGCCTAGGTTTTCCTAGACTTCTGGCTCTATTGCCTCAAAACAGGGAGTCTGTGTTTCCCTGCCTGTGACATGTCCTGGAAACTTCTAAGGACCACATTCTGGATGGGTAGAGGACATTCTGATTGACCTTTTCTGCTCTCCTGTGTCTACCCATATGCTATACACCAGCAAACTGTGGATATTCAGAAACTATTAAAAAAAAAATCACTGGTTTCCACCTGCATGGGAAGGCTTAGAGTTCCTTGACTGACTGTCTTACACACTCCGGAAATTGCAAAGAACTTTCTAGATGAATATCTGGACCTCAATGTTACCTGCAAACTGAGATGGCATTTCTAAACTTTTCTCTGTGTCTTATTTTAAAATTTACATGATGATTCCATACTGAAGGAAATATGGTACTGGTTATTATTTTTTGTTTGATTTTAGTTTGTTTATTTTTTGTGCAGCCAAAAGATGCAACAATACCAGAGTAAGATACAACAATTCCAGAAAGTTTGCCAGCTGATAGAAACTTAGAAAATTCTAAGAATTAGAAGTGCTTCGTTTTAGCTCTGCAAAGGAAAAATGCAGATTATGTCAAGTTGGAGGTTGCTTTTATGTGGAGAACTAATTACTGTCTGGTATTCTTTGATGGAGATCACTATAATGACTTGGAAAAAACCACCTCTCATTTATTTTGATAGTACAGAACTGACTGCTCTCAAGGAGGAGGAAATTTAAAGATTGAGGTTATAAAGGTCAGTGTAAAGCTGATTATTTTCTGTTTTAAATTTGAAATTTCTTAAAATCTTTTCTTCTAACATTTTGCCATGTGATTTTTGACAAGAATATCTTCAGTTCAAAAACTATGATATTTCTCCCAAAGAACACAACATTCTGAAGAAGCTGCGGGTCGGGGAAGGCTGTGTTTCTGGGAAGCAGCAGTGGCCTGCAGAGTGGATTTGTGGCATGGAGCAGGGGCTGCGAGAAGGCGCATTCTCCTTGGCAGCCACTCAGCCCATTCCCAGTGCTGGCAAGTGGAGAGAAACCAGTCTTGGGATGCTCTGTGTGATCTGCAGGAGTAGCCATATGTGGCCTGGAATTGAAACTCAGCAATGATTGAGATGAAATCTAAATCATCTGGCTTCCCCCAACCCCTGCACACCCACTGCACCAGCCACCTTCTAACTCCTCCTCAAAGAATTGACGTTTTCTTGGATTCAGTCTTTGTGTGATGAAGAGTACTGGCTAGATTATTATTCTTGCTCACACATTCTCCA